CTCAGAGCCTGGCCATCTCAGCCTGAGAAGCCTGCGTGCTTGGCTAGGATTGGCCCGCTGGGGCCTGGGCTGCCTGACCCGTCCCTGTGGCTGAAAATGAGAAGTTGATCTCAGTCCAGCGATCTGGGGCCCTCCCCAGGGATCTGGGGACCACCCCAGGCTGGCGCTGCAGGTGGGATCAGAGCTTGAAAGGAAGCTCTGTGCAAGGAGAAGGTGAAAAGGTGCAGGATGAGTAGAAACGACAAATTTCTCCTGTAATATATTTCCTGTCAACATACATCTCACATCACAGTTTTTATGCCGGCATCATTTCTCCACCGACAGAGGACTAAGGCTTATTTCACCAGTCCTCACGGTACACAGTAGGTTACTGCCAATGTTGCTATTACAAATTCTGTTCTAAAGAGCATCTTGATGCTAAATCTCTGCCTATATCCTACAAAACTTCCTAATTATCTTAAATCAGTATAAAACAGCTCATAAGTTTTACAAACTAGACAGTTTCAGGGCCCTAGGTAAAACTACAAAATAAACCTTTCTTTGGTGTCAGCCTAAGCTGCATTCTCCACCTTGTGCTGCTACTTTGGTGTCCCCCGGCCCCCACCCTGCCCCACTTCTTGGAGCTCTGTCCTCTGGCTGTAAAGGGCTCCCACTGACAGCTACAGCCAGGATACCCTCTCCCTGCTAACCATCCTCAGGCTTGCCCCAGACTACAAAATACCTTCTCCTTCCTCTAAACAAAATTCTCACTTAAAAAATAGGGCTGATCTCACTTAAGAGGAAAGAAAGGTAAGTATCTGGATAAAGGTGATGTAATTGACCTTTGTAAAGTATGGAGTGTGGTTGAGGGGGGATGGCTTGGCTAGTCCTTTAAGTTCTCTGCTTATTCTTCCTCCACCTTACTGGTGACCAGAAACTTGCTCCCCTTCTGAAAGAGAACACTATTTCTTTTTTCTTGTCTTGTCTTGTCTTGTCTTTTCTTTTCTTTCTTTCTTTTTTTGAGACAGAGTTTGGCTTTTTAGTCCAGGCTGGAGTGAAGTGGCACAATCTCGGCTCACTGCAACCTCCGCCTCCCGGGCTCAAGTGATTCTCCTGCCTCAGCTTCCCAGCTGGGATGATAGGTGCCTGCCACCACTCTTGGCTAACTTTGTATTTTTAGTAGAGACGGGGTTTCACCATGTTAGCCAGGCTGGTCTTGAATTCCTGACTTCAGGTGATCCACACCTCTCCGCCTCCCAAAGTGTTGGAATTACAGGTGTGAGCCACAGTGCCTGGCCGAGGCCACAATTTCTTACACTCTCCGCACTGTGCCTGTGTGGTAGCATGTGTCCGAATGGGGCAAAAGAGGTCGCAGCAAAAGTGAGCATGAACTAAAATCTTGTTCTGATTATAACTCTTGCAAATGACTGGTAAAGTTGGTAAATGCTGGAAATTTTCTTGGCCTGGGGCAAGAAATGGCCATGACATGTATACCTTCACGTGCTCATGTCCACAAGGTCGCAGAAATGTAGGAGCGTGAGCATGAATAACCCTGTTTGTCTGGGCTATTCCCAGTCAGGAAACTATCGAATTTTACTTTGTCTTCCAGTGATAGCTTATGAGCAAAATAGTCCTGTTCTGCTCCCAGTCACAAGGTCAGCTGTCAGGAGATGAGTTCAGAACCCAGGGGGTGTCTTCAAAGGTTTTCCTGACCCTGGGGTGTGTCTGGGTCGCTCAGCTTCTCCTCAGGGAATCAGAAATCAGAAATAAATGCTTACGTGTTAAAAGCACTTTCTCAAGGACAGTTCTTCAGGTACTGAAAGTTTTTTGATCTTTCAGAGGAAATGCTGGTGCCCATATTCCATCACTGATGTAGGAGACATTTAAGACAGGTGCATATGAGGTGCTGAGAAGAAAAGAAGGTCCTACCCTGAAGGCTCCTGCTGTCTAATGGAGTAAATGAATGAAGAAATATCACTTTATGAAAGCAAGCCAACCCTCATTACACCATGTGTCCACTCTGGTGCATTTTGGCAGGTGCCCGAGACTAGGGCACGGGGGTGGGTCCTGGGTCCTGGGTCCTAGAGCCCTGGCGGCCTTTCATCTGCCTCCAGTACTGTTGGCTTATGTGGTTCTACAGAGCTAACTTTCCATTTCCTTCAAGGCAAATGAAAGCTGCCTTGCGAACTTCTGTTTGAATTAATTTTGATATTTTGGTTGGAGGGATCATTATACTCAGTCATTTCTAATATTATGACTTCAGTTTTCATAGTTTTGGGTAAGGGAGTAGGGAGGAAGCCATTCTTGAATTGTATACTCTCTTTAAGGAGTCAAAGCCTATTTAGATCAACTTGATGTGATGCAACACAGGGCCACGCGACTCCCCCAGCTCTGCCCACACCCTTCATCTGATCTGCAAAACCCCTTCCCATAGCTGCTAGTCATCCTGAATTATGTGGAGCCCTGCTTGCGGTAACAATGTGCAACAAATAATGCAATTATTTATTTGTTTATTTTTTTTACTGCTCTAGGGGAATATCTTTAGTACGGAGGTAGGTAAGCCACCTGTTGTGAATAATAATTTTTAAAAGCTCCATTTAGATAGGCAAAATAAAGCTGTCCCTTCTAGTCAGCTGCCCCTTTCCGCCCCCCTCCTCACTCCCAGGAAAAGGCTTGGTGAACTGAGCCCTGGTGGACTTCAGCCCCACCAGGTTTTCTGCAGTGCACAGACTATACAACAGGGAGGCAGCCTTGTGTGGGGCCTTTGGTCTGAGGATTTTATTTTGGCTGTAGAGAGTACTATCACTTCTGTGTTAAAGTGGTGCTAAATATTAAAAAGATTTCTTTTTTGTGGGATTATACTTATATTCTCTTCTGAATGCTTTATAAAATGCCAAAACAAGTATGCTTAATAACAGATTTTTAAAACCCACAAAAGTAAAACAACATGTAGATCTTAGTGTGGCTAACTAATTTTGATTTCAAGTTCTGCTTTCCCCCCTGTAATTTCCATTTTTATGTTTTAAAGGATAAGTAGTCACACTTCCTCATCTCATTCTTCCCGTTCCTGCATGCCCTCTCCCCACTCCAAATAAAATTCCTGGGAAAGGAAAACAACTTCACATTAAGTTGAGATGTCTGTTTTTCCTTTTAGAGACAGGATCTGTTGTCCAGGCTGGAGTGCAATGGGGTAATCATAGTCATCGCAGCTTCAAACTCTCGGGCTCAAGTAAGCCTCCTGCCTTTACCACCAGAGCCGCTAGGACTATAAGGCTACACCACCATGCCCAGCTAACTTTGTTGTTGTTCTATATGTGTGTGTGTGTGTGTGTGTGTGTGTGTGTGTGTGTGTATATATATATATATATATATATTTGCCCAGGCTGGTCTTGAACTCTTGGCCTTAAGCAATCCTTCTACCCTGGCCTCCCAAAGCACTGGGATTGCAGGTGTGAGCCAGCAGGCTTGGCCTCAAGTTGAGATTTTAATGCAGCATCCTAGGACACTTTCTATACTCCACACCTATTTTGAAATGAAACCACAAAGTTTCCATACAGCCAACCCATGAAAATATTCACACATGGTGCTTCTGGTTTGGCCTGTGCTGGGATGGTTGGAGGTGGAGGAATCTTCACACAGAGGGACCTTCACCTGGCCCAACTCCTTAGTGCTATTGATTGAGTGACATCCAAATCCTAAAGGTCTGTTGCCTTCAGGGAATATTTTGTGGTGTGCCCAAAGTGCTTCCTGGGGCTCAGGATCTGTTAGACTGATGGTTGGTCATTCCTGGGGACTCCTACCACCCAGCCAGCCATAAAATAAAGTTAAACCATCGAGTTTGCAGAAGAGACCAGGGCAAGAAGCCAGCTCCTGTGGGACAATCACAGCACGCTGTGATCAGGGCATGTTTCTATTATCTCTAAACCCGGGAACGGGTCATGTGAAATTCAGGCTCAGGGCAGGCGGGAGGGCGGCCCGGGATGGCCTGGCGGGTACTGGGCACTGAATGCGCTTTTGTTCGGTGAATGCAGGAGCCGCTGGGCGTGGCGGCTTTCACGGCCCCTCAGCTGTGACAGTTCCTCTGGGGCGGCGCCGCCTCCCCCTGTCTGGAGAAAGGCGTTCGGGGAGTGAGAAGCATCCCTGGGTGGGGTGGGGGAGGGGTGCTGGTGAGAACCTGGGACGCCCTGTGGGCCCGCGGCCAGCCTGCTTTACAGAACGATTGGGATGTGAACACGGTTGCCTGAGCCCCCGATTATTCTGCGAATCTGTAAATACAGATTTAGACACACGTGGTGGACGTGTCCTCCCCGGTAACAGGGAGTGTTTCCAGAGAGCACCTCTTTGTAGCCCTGAGAAGGAGGCCTTCGAGTTTTTGCAGCCTGGGAGACGGCGAGGGGTGTGATTCAGGGGTGCCCGTGGGAAGGGGAGGGCTGGATCGTCCCAGAACCCCCTGACTGTCCTGGACCCCCAACTCTCCGCACTCTCCGGATCTCACTGCCGGGGCCGGGCGGGGGGCGGGGGTGCGCGTGGCGGAAAAACTCGCATTGGGGTGAGACTCAGTAGCGCGGTTCTGGTGGAGAGTAAACGGGAGGGGACGGGGAGCAGGTGCGGTAAAAAGCGCCGGGGGCAGGGACACCAGGCAGTCGCTCAGGGGAGAAGCGGGGTACAATGTGGCAATTAAAGATACGTAGTCAGAGGAGCCAGTCCCCAAAGACAGAGGGGATTCAATTTACCAGGATTCCGTTGAAGTGGGGAGCTCGTCTTTCTGGGAAGAAAGTCCAAAAAAAAAAAAAAAAAGTGGAGAGGGTGGAGCAGGGGGTGCGGCGAGTGGATCCCCAGCCGGTGCTCGCGCGCGCGGGCTGTCGCCGCTGGACGCCCCCCCGCCCCCCGCCACCTCCGCCTGCTCCCTCCCCTCGCGCGGCTCCTCCCCCGCGCCCTCTCCCCGCCGCGCGGGCCTGAGCCGCCGAGCGGGGACGAGAGCGCGGAACGCGGGGCGCAGGCTGCGGCGGGGCCGAGGCGTCTGCCGGGCTGGCGATGGCGCGGGCGGCGGGAGAGCGGGGCCGGGGCCAGGCTGGGTGGTGCGGGCGGCACCCGCGCTGCGGGCGGGGCGTGCTCCTCGCCTTCGCCGCGTGGACCGCGGGCTGGGTGCTGGCGGCAGCGCTGCTGCTCCGCGCGCACCCGAGCGTCCTCTCCGAGCGCTGCACAGACGAGAAGAGCCGGCGCATCCTGGCCGCGCTGGTAGGTCCCGCCGCCGCTCTGCCCCGCGCCGCGCGTATCCCCGGGGAGTGGGGATAGCACCGGTCCCGAGCCTCAACCTTCTCCGGGGACTCGGGTGGCGGTGGCACCAGCCGGGTGTGTGGGGTCCCGACACAGGCGTGGAATGCCAGAGCGCACGCCCAGGTGCCCCGAATGGGAACGCAGCGGGGAGTGCTCCGTGGGCGCGCGGGGGGTGTCTCTCCCCTTTTCGCCAGAATCCGCCCTTCCTCCCCAGCCAGCCTTTGAGTCCTACTCTCGCCACCCCTGAGCCCGAGCTCCAGAAGAAAGTTTGCGGGTCTGATCCGAGTGTCCAGGTCTGCTTGAGCCTCCGGGCAGCCCCCTCCGTGATCGCGTCCAGTGTCGGGTGGCAGAGCTCTGGGCACCAGCCAGCGGTTCGGGATCGGAGGTGCCACGCCTCTGTCTCTGGGGTCCTCAGCGCTCCAGCCCAGCCCGCGTTGTGTGATTCCACCCTGGGCTGCCAGGTCACACCACCCCCCCACACCTCGCCAAGCTCACGCGCAGGGCTGGTCGGGCCCCTGCCTCGGTGCGCTCCAGAGCCCAGGCTTTCCGCAGTCGCGGTCTGTGGGAACCGACCCTGAGTGCTCGCGGGCTGTCAGAGCGCTCTGCGGAGGCGGCTCGGACTCGACAGATCCAGGGTGCTGGGGCCGAATGCTCACATCCAGCAGCTCCTCAGCTGAGCAGGAGAATTAAGGAAAGAAACATTTGGCATTTTACAGACTGCTGCGTGCGCTGGGCTCAGATCCTGTGAATGCAATGCACATCTTTAGTTGATTGGAAAGGTGGCTAGCCGTTCTCTCCTGCGCAAAGGAGACTTGAATAAAGATGGGAGTCCCCTAAATCCCAGAAAGGGGAAGATAGTAGCAACTACTCTAACATGACTTCTCAAGCGATTATTCACTTTCTAAAATAGTGACCATCTAAGCATTTGGTTTGAAAAATTGATCTATTTTCTAAAACATCTTCAAGAAACACATGGGCAGTTTTCAGTTCAATTGCTTACATCTGGGTGGGCCTTTTGAGACTGTAGATTTTCAAAATGTGGGATCACAAAGGTTTTTAAAGTAAATGATTGTTTAAGTGAGATTGGAAATGTTTTTTAAATGAGCCAGGTATACTAGCTAAAACAAGTTATGCTCCCTAATTTACTCTAATACATGTGTCATCGTGAATTGAACATATGTAGGTGAGACACTTACAGATTCTTTCCATTGACCCCCTTCTACTGTTACATGAAGTTTTATCAAGTTTGTTTGTTTATTTATTTATTTATTTTTGAGACAGAGTTTCACTTTCGTTGCCCACGCTGGAGTGCCATGGCACGATCTCAGTTCACTGTGACCTCCACCTTCCCAGTTCAAGTGATTCTCCTGCATCAGTCTCCCGAGTAGCTGGGATTACAGGCATGCATCACCACTCCCAGCTAATTTTGTACTTTCAGTAGAGATGGGGTTTCTCAATGTTGGTCAGGCTGGTCTTGAACTTCCGACCTCAGGTGATCCGCCTGCCTCACCCTCCCAAAGTTCTGGGATTACAGGCATGAGCCACTGCACTTGGCCAGTTCTATCAAGTTTTAAGTCGCAAGAGCTCACTGATTTTTCTTAGTAACCCATAAAAATCTTTTTCACTTATAAATTTTTCCCCCTGGTTTTCTTGTCTTGGGTGAAGGGAGTGCTGATAGACTAATTATAGCAAACTAACATTGATGGTTTGGCTAAAGTGGAATACCTATTTACAAATTTAATGTAGTAATCCTTTAAGATAAAAAACGAATGCCATTTTTCATTTCTTTACCTTTGGTTAAGTGAGGAAAGGCCTAATGGAAATTAAATCGTCTTACTATAATTTAAGTAATTGCTAATTGTAACTTTCCCAGCATTCCAGGGTTGTAAATTAAAACCAGTTCTGTTTAGAGGCTTTACCAATATATCTTCAGCGGCAGCCATATGGAATCTTTTCTAGTCAGACATAAAGCTGGAGAGATTGGTTCTGGCCCTGAAGGCCCTCAATCTTTCCTGCAGCCACAAAAACAGTGTCAGAGGCCACGCCCATCTCCCTAGGTGTCGATTGGTGCTGTCTGGTGAACTGGTTTGTGGGGGAGCAGCCTTTGCCCGCAGGCCCTGTTTGAGTTCCTGACTCCTGGAACAGTCTAGGAACTCTCCCCCTGTCCCTCTTCCTGCCACTTCCCTTTCTATCGTTTTCATCCTGAATATGTTGATGTGAGACCACACAGCACCCTGGCTTAAGTTTTACCCAGGACACTCTGAGTTAGGACAGGGTTTAAATACAACCCCAATCTTCACAATCCCTACTCTGCCGGGCTGAGTTGCAAAGTAGAGGTTGGCATTGTGGCTTTCAAGGACTTGAGCTGAATTGAGCCTCTGTCTCTGCTCCCCTGGCACTTCCCGATTCATTCTGCCTAGCTTTTATCCGTAATAATAAAACTGGTTGTTATTTTCCTGATGGGCCTCCAGACTCTCATTAGCTTTCACTCTGAATACTGGAGCAAAGAAGAAACCACTTTGCCAGCTGGGCCGAAGGGAGACTTTCTGGCAGGACCCAGGGAGTTGTGGTGGGTTCCCCGCCCCCCCGGTAGCCTCGGCTGCCAGTGTTCCCAGGCTCCCGCCTGGCAAGGGGCACTGCTGGCCTGCCAGGGGTGGACCCACCTGTAGGATAAAGGAATCACAGGAAAAAGCTTAGAGGCGAGTCAGGGCATGGGGGTCAGAGGTCTTCATGTTCTCCCCAAGCCCACACCCCACCTCCCCAGGGAGCCGACCACGTCCCATTGACAAGTTCCTGGCAGAGCCAACCTGAATTGTTCCAAAGGATTGAGCCCTGGGTCTTCCAGCTTGAATTATTCCTGGTCATACCTTAAGGCTCCCCTTAATGTCAGCTTTAAGAGGAACAACGCACTGTGAAATAGTGGACTCAGGTCTCTGGAGCCCTGCTTGTCTAGTGGGCTGTGTCAGGAAGCCAAGCCAGCTGGGGAGCTAGCTTGGTGCTGGGTCATTGATACACCTGGCTTCTCATTCATTCCACAGGCTGAGCTTTTCACACTGAGGTGGAAGATGCGGGCTGCTGTCTGTTGGCTCTTCCTCAGGGAAGGCATGGTGCGAATTGTTTCACGGGGCTTATTTCACTGAGCTCCCTCAACAACCTCTATGAAATATTTGCTTTCAGTATCCCCGTTTCATAGATAGCAAAACTGAGCCTCAGGGAGAAGCGACTTGCCCTGCTTCACACAGTTAATATGATGAGGAGCCAGGATATGACCCTGGATAGTCTGATGGTAGCAATGACATGACAGTCAGTGGTTTCTCTAATAATGGAAACTCTACATAATAACTCATATACTTAACCCTTCCATACCATGTCATTCTTAAGGCATGTCAAAGATATTCTCACAGACTGATATTCTGAAGGCTTAACTGGCTTTTTTGGCTGGTGAGGTCTTGATGGAATTTCATGTAGCTGTCTACATTAGTGATTCATTTTTAATAGGGCAGGCTTACATTTCTTTGCTGCTGTGACAGAAACTGTCAAGGTCCCAACGGGACTACAGCATCCAGGGCACATATCCAGAGAGTTTTTCAGCAGTGAATGACTGCCTGAGTGCTCATCCACATTCCTAAAAGCAGAGAGGGGTTACAGAGTGGACGAGCTAACTGTGCTGACGTTCTGCAATGCACAGCATAGCTGCTTAGGGAAACACTAGCACTGTCAAGTATGAATGTTGCTAACTGCAGAGGAACTTAATGCTCCTTAAAAACAAACACACAAAAGAAAACCCAGCCCTCAGATGTGACCTTGGTGGCCTTATCAATAGTTTTCTAGACTAGAGTGGACAGGTTTTGTTTTTGCCTGAGAACCATGACATAAATTAGAGAGATACTAAGCAACAATTGCAAAGAGTGCTTCTTACAAAAGCAGGACTGATGTAATGGGAATGTGCATCTCTGGATATTTTCACACCCATGAGAAGCACAGATCCACTGCAAACATAATTAATTTTAAAAGCACGCCAGAGTTAGCTGCAATAAGATTTAAACTAGTTTCTTCAGCTTATTTTCAACTCCAATACCTGCGGACTTTGTATGCATACACATCTGGGTACAGAAGTGTAACTGTCTTTAAACTGGCCTTAGGACCTCCTCCTATGCACAGAGGAGTCTGAGAAATACTATTTTTTTTTTTTTTTTGGGTGGAGTCTTGCTTTGTTGCCCAGGCTGGAGTGCAGTGGAGTGATCTCAGCTCACTGCAACCTCCACCTCCTGGGTTCAAGTGATTTCTCCTGCCTTCCGAGTAGATAGGACTAGAGGCACATGCCACCACGCCCAGATAATTATTTTTATTTTTAGTAGAGATGGGGTTTTACCATGTTGGCCCGGGTGGTCTCAATCTCCTGACCTTGTGATCTACCTGCCTCGCCCTCCCAAAATGTTAGGATTACAGGTGTGAGCCGCCGCGCCCCGCCTAAAGATTGATTTTTAAAATGGTCCTACATAAACTACTTCTATTGAGTTCAACAACAACAAAACCTACCTCCTTCAGCAGGACAAGGACATGCTGCTAATAAAATATTCCACTATTATCTTTAACATGATGAAAGTTTTTGGGGTTTTTTGTTTTTCTTGAGACAGGGTCTTCCTCTGTCACCTTGGCTGGAGTGCAGTGGTGCAAACAGGACTCACTGCGGCCTCTACTTCCCAGGCCAGTCAGTCCTCCTGTCTCCATCTCCCAAGTAGCTGAGACTATAAGCATGGCTCAGCTAATTAATTTTTTATTTTTGTAGAGTCATTGCCCATCCAGATTTGTCTTGAATTCCTGGGCTCAAGTGATCCTCCTTCCTCAGCCTCCCAAATCGCTGGGCTTACAGGCATGATCCACGTGTCTGGCCTGATGAAAATTTTAAATTCAAACTTGTAGTTTGTACATTGACTGTTTTTTAAAATGCTGGATTAAAT